AAAAATAAACATTTAATCAACAAGATAACTGAACTGAGCTGCATCAAAGGCAAAAATCTGAAATGTTCAGTTCACTCAAGCAAACATCAAAGCCAGACAAACTTACACGGGGCAAATATTATTACATATATTTAATAAAATCTTACAAGTAGGTAATATTTATTATATATTTGCTACTTTAGCCGACTGTGACTTTGGTAAATAAGACTAAACTTATTGCACAGAGTACAATGAGAAGCAGTCTTTGCCAGCTCGTCAGGAAGCTGGGGTCAAAGACAGGGTCAGCCACACTACGGCGCCCCTTCAGCATAAAGGTTAAGGGCCTTGCTCAGGGGTCCAACACTGGCAGTGCTGGGGCGTGAACCCCCAACCTTCTGATCCACAGCCCAAAGCGCTAAACGCTAAGCCTCCACTACATCTTATAGGTACACATAATACCAAACACTATATCAATAAAGTCATATTTATGAGGATTTAAGCTTAAATTCATAATTTCAGTCATTCTTTTGTGGCACCTTGCCAGTTGTTTGGTTGGTCTTTGTAGAGCGGACATTCAGTGTGTCTGAACTCTGGTGATTCCTTCACTTGTCCCCATCTTCCCGTCAGAATTTCAATGAGTCCAGTACTTTGGTTTATCTGTCTGACGGTAACGGATTTGTTTACAATTAGCATTCGACCTGAAAGAGCTGCCATCGCTAGCAGAGCAGCAACAGGAGCTACAGTCTGCTGTCAACACGAGACGCGTTCAGGAACAGCAAAGAGTGTGGGTCAGCTGGGTTCTGGCAGAGCTCAGAACACAACACACAGCCGCTGCAGTGATGCATGTAAAGCAGGTGGCATTAGATCTGAAATATGAACCTGGGGGTTTATATAGGTATAACAGCAGAGACACATGTGTAGAAGCTGTTCTGATTAAAATAGAAAACGTAGCTGCGATGCCGTCTGTGCACACACCACACTTATATTATCGTATACAAAAAAAATTAACAGTAAAATCTATGGTGATGTAAAGTTAACGAGGCACTGATTGAGCAATAACTACCGTCTGTGGCAGCAGTTCAAGCACGCTGGAAATAAACGGTGGCCTCTCCAAAGGCCTTCCCGTCATTAAAATCAAGAATGAAAGATATAAAGAAATACAGCTGCCTCGCATACTTCACACTGCAAAACACTCCGTCTTGGTTTTGCAGCGCAGCCAAGTGAGCAGAGCGATACACACCCTGACAACGTGCTGCCTTCGTGTTATTGTTCCGTAAGAGAAGGTGAGAACAATCTGTAAACAAAAGGTCTTTACTGTCAAGCCCCGCAGCTATGGTTAGAGAAAACTACACAGCATCTCTGTTTATTAAAACAACACAAACAGGCCCTCTGAATATACACCTATGTTAGAATTCAAGCATCAGTTTCATATCATGGTTAAGTTTTTGTCCATTTCTTTTGGTAACACCTGAGTAGCACCGGGGTTTACCGAGGCCAGACTTATGAGGTGAGCTAGCTTTGTCACCCTTTGGGACTTTGGGTGACTTGGGAGTAACTAGATCAGGCTGCTGATGGTGCACATTATTTGAAAGCATACTAGGCTGTAGCAAGCTACTGTTTTGCTGGGGAAAGGCCCTTCTTTTGGCTGTGCAGTGGAGGAACCTGTCTGCCCAGTAGCAAAAGCCAGCTCAGCCCATTTGTGTCCTGTGTGACTACCAACAGGGAGTTGCACGCTGCATCGCACTGCTGTGACGATCCCACAACAAACCTTCAGCTCCACCAGTACACAGCTGTGGAGTCCCTGCACAACTTCAAAAAAACGAATTAAGTCTGCAGCTTCTGTTCTCCTATAAATAATGGCAAGAAAAATGCATAATTAACACCTCGCAGTTCAACTTAGCGAGTGTGACACAAAAGCTGAGAGTCAACAAAGTCAGCAAATACTTTGATATGCAGAAGTGAAGTCGAGGTCCAGAGCAAGACCCGACGCTGCTGAATATTACATATGCACAGCGCGCTATATGTGAAGGGCAGGAAAGTAAAACTGAGGAGTTGTGCGATGTAAATCACAACCATAGAGTCTAATGATGAATTTATTAGCATTGTAAGTGTATTTAGGATTTATCTCTGAAGAAGAAAGGCACATTTGTCATGAAATGGGAAGAGAGGATTGATTTATACGTACAGTGAATGGACTGTAGAGGGGAGTAGAAACATCCTAAATCATCAGACATGTGCCATCGCATCTCATCTGCTTTTTATGTGAATGAACAAAATCACTGCAACCCAGGAGATAAAATCAGGATAAACCGAATCAGGCATCAAGGTGGAATCTGGGGATGTTTAATCTATTTCCCAGGTAAATGCACTACAGAAGAAGACGTGTCACCTCACCTGACCACGTCTACGTTCACTTTAATGAACTGTTGAGCTGTGATTCTCTAAAACAAAGTGGTTTCTGATCAGTTTTCTGCAGAACGCTGCTCAGTCTACCGTAGTCCTTTCATGCATTTGGGCTGCCGGTTAGACAAAAGCAGTTTGAAGACATCTCTCAATATTTCATAAGACCAAAAGATGACGACAAAAATAACAGCTTAATGCATCCCTCTGAGGAACTTCAGCACTTTGGTCTACAAAACGGCCCAGCTCCCAGAGCCCAGCTGAGTTCACAGAGCGGTTATTTACAGGTTAACTCATCATGAACACAGGACTCAGCTGCATTCAGTTTGGTACCAACAGCTCACATCCTCCACTGTGAGCATCAACACTCAGCTAATACTTCACTCATTCATCTGACTTTGACAGTAAGTTATTGATTCTCTCTTCAGACGGCCCTGCCTGTCACTGCATCGATTGTTTTGGTCTTTTTTAGCTCCATTAAATAGTTTGACAAAAGGGCAGCGCGCTGTGCTTTTAGTGACACGGCCAGCCGAACAAGCGCCGCAGTGTGAGTGTAAACAGGCGGCAGGTCACATGCCTGCGCAGCCCCAAGGAGAAGTCATGCCCTTCATCAAGCTGTCAGACGCTCAATAGCTCCACAGTTAGTCCCATCAGGCTCAGGGGGCGGGGGGGATCGAAACAGGTTGGATCGGAACCAAAATAAAGACAACTGGGCCTCCAAGAAAAGTAATTAAAATCAATGCCCCGTTAACATGGCGTTCCCCCCCCTTAGTGTGGATCATGTTAATCAAACTGCCTCTCACCGGTCGTGTGATCCACCGGGCCGGTGCCATTGAGCAGCACCGCGTGCAGGTGAGGGTGGGTCGCCTCCAGAGCCGCGCAGAACTCCGCGAAATGGTCCCGGTCCTTGCTGAGCAGTATCTTCAGCAGGAGGTCCACTTTCTCCGAGTTGGAGGAGCAGCTGTGTCCCAGCTCGTAGCGCTCCGCCGGGCTCAGGGTCCCGCAGTGAGCCAGAACATCCACGACTCGGTCCGCGTCTGTTACCGACTCCACCAAGTTCTGGTAACATTTCTCCAACAACTCTTTATGCTTGGGCTCCATCTCCCTCCTCCTCCTCTTCCTCCTCCTCCTCCTGCTGCTCCTTCTCGCTTCGTTTCGGTTTAGCCTTCGGGGGGGACAAAAACCAGCTCCGGAATCTTTCTGCGGGTCAGATCCACTTCGGACTACTTACCGAAACTCTCCCAGTCGGGACGGGTCGGAGCCCGAACTGAGGGGTAGACCAGAAGTAGCCATGTTTGCTGCCCAAGGCTGTTGAGTGCGCGGAGATGACAACACATTTTCACGCAGCGCCGCTCCGTCCTGCTCGACTCTCACACACAGAAACAAACAGACGGAGAGAAAAAAAAACAAAACAACAAAAACAAAACGCGACGCCTCCGCCTCGTGAGGCTCCGTCCCGCCGCCGAGACCACGTCGTCCTCAAACTAAGTTCTGTCGGCGCGTCGGGAAAGTGCAGAAACTCGTGAGGAGCCTCTGAGGGAGGCTGAACACTCCGCCATGTCTCACCGTCGAGCAGCTGGAGCTCTCTGCCAATCACGTTTCCGTGCAATGGACATTTAAGGTAAAAGTGGGCGGGGCCTCGCGCTCAGACGCACCTGGCTCCCCAACAATACAATTAGCGTCATAATTTAAAGGCGAGTACCTCAGTAACGCTCCTCCTGGTGCTGCTCAGGTTCTGCTGGTGGAAGAATCCAGGAGTTCTGCACTGAAAAGGCTCCGAAGTTATAAAAGTAGCTCATCAGAGGCAAAATGCACAAACTGCACCACAAACACAAGTATTCAATATGGGCCCTTGCAGTTATATTATTACATTACTGATGTTAATTGGTAGAGGGGGGTTTATTTGAACAATTTATGCAATTTGGGGAAGTTTCATTTATAGCAATGCGTTCTGATCAGCTCTTCATATGCTCAGTATTTTATAAAATAGCTTCTAAAGTGCATTGAAGTCACATCACCGACCGATAATGAACATTTAACAAGTTTGAACAATGAGATAAAACCACAGAGTTATTTATATATTGATACAGAAAGTCATTCCTGCCAACAACCATCACCTTAAAAAACAAATCTGACTGACTGAATGATTATTATTATTATTATTGTTGTATAAATATTTTTTTAAAATTGAGCTTTTACAAGATTGAATTTCCCTTCTGGGAAAAATAAAGTATTTTTCATTTCATTTCATTTATAATGTGACTGTATCTATTTAATTTAAACATTAGGGATTTAAAGCCCTCAAAAATTATTTAGAAAAAAAAATCCAACTTTACCTGATGATAATAATTGTTTTATGTATATAAATTATATATATATAAAATGTACATACATAAAACAATTATTATCATCAGGTAAAGTGATAATGAAATGAAATGATAATAATTGTTTTATGTATATAAATTATATATATATATATATAAATTAGTTTTATGACTGGGATGTGGCTGAAAGCTCTGGAACAACGCAGTAAGAAGGTCCTTTTGTTGATAGATTGATTTTACAGGAATTTTTGAGTTTGTTTTGGCGCTGTGAGCTCTGAAACTTGATTTCATTGTGATTTAAAGAAAACAGGAGATGTGGTT